GCCTGGAAGTGTGCAGAGCCTCAATATGTCTGGCTGTCTCCGGAGGGTGTCCCGATTTCTTGACTTCAGGTTCCTCTTGAAAAAACCTGATCATGCCCTCTTTGACATATGTATTGATAATCTCACAGTGTCTGGACGGGGGGACCTCCCACGACGGCCGAGGGCACTGCTGCATATACTCCTCAAAGGCTTTTAACAGGGAATCGTCTCGAAGCTTAGCACGATCTAACCTCGGCTTATCCCCTAGAATCCCCTGAAAATTACGCAAAGCAGGCATGGTAATCTCCACTTGCAACTGAACAAGCAAATGATCGGGTCTCTTGACCGCCAGGTCAATGGCATCGTTGACACATGGCCTCGCGACGGCATGCTGGAGATCAATTGGGGCACAAATGTAATCTAACCTACGGGTGGGGAAGACGCCCTGCGGGGGGGGTCCATGTTTTGGCCTTGAGCGGGTCCCCAGTAAAGGTGGAGGGAGCAAAGAAGGAGGACTCAAGCAGGAACCGGTGGAAACATTCCCCATTGAAGTTTTCCTTCTCCTTGGCCAGGGCCCCTATGGCAGGCGAGACAACCGACCCAACTGCCGCATTAGCATCAACTAAAACGAAGACACGGGGAGTATGGAGGCGGGCCTCCCTGACGATAGACGTGACATTCCCCCACCAGTCCTTGATCTCAAGCTTATGCTTTTTAGTATGCGGAGCATGGCCAACACAGAAAGTGAAAGTAGCATCAGCGATAGCGACATTGACAACTAGAACAGTAGGGATGGCAATAACTACTGTGACAACATCTCTTGAAGTCGCACTGGTGGAGAGCTGCGGGGCAAACGGCACGCTGCGCCTAAGCCAGAGCGAACACCCATGAGTAGCATGCTCAGTCCTCGGACCATGCAATACAAGATAGCCCCCAATGCGTGCCCAACCCTCCCGCGGCATACGAGACTCCACCGTGCCAATGATGTGCAAACCCTGTTTGGAGAATTGGTTAGCAAGCATGCGTGGACGTCCAGACGCATACAGACCGATCCTCTTCGGGGGACCCTTCTTAGACGCCTGAAGCGACAGAACACTGGCAAATGCAAGCAAAAACTTGACTTTACAATCGGCAACTGGATCCTGCGGAATCTTAGCGACGGAGAACGGGAGATCGTGCTCTTCGCCTAGAGGGTGCGACCACGGGGGGGATCTCCAATGACCTGGTGCGTATGTAGCCAAAACCATTGTATCCTCGTGCAGAGGGGGAAACTGGGCTCCCACAGAGGGCCCGAGTTTTTCGAGCCAAGCCCATTCAGCAACGAGAGTGTCCTCCAACAACACACCCCAAGGCCGACAAGGGGGGGAGGGGATAACATTCAGGATCGCAAGCGCAGCGAGCGAGTCCACCAACTCATTGAGCGGATCATCTTCGTGCGCTCGCACGTGAATGAACGAGAGAGTTTGCGCTCAACCTGAACAAGCAAAGCTAGGGAGCGCAGAGCTGTGGAATATCCGTTGAGTGGAGGAATGTTTGAGACTCCCCCAGCAGCACGTGCAACAAGCAAATTGTCGAGAAAGAAAGTGGCCGAGCCAATACCTGCTTGATGCGACCAGGACATAGCCCAGATGAGAGCGACAACCTCGGACCATAGACTGCGAAGACTGGGGGGGATGTCGCGATGCTCCGCCTCCAGCTTTCCAGCCAGAAATCCTCCAAACCATCTGCTCTGGTTATGCCCCTCAACAACGACTGCAAACGCCCACGCGGGGGGACTAGAAGATGCCCCCCCTGAACCGTCCGTGTAAACAATGATATTGCAACCCTGAAAGCTACTAGACCACGGAGGGAGAAGCGAGAGGCAAGACAAGGATGATTGCAACAGATAGTCGGAGAGGGGCTCCCAGTCCTGGCATATCCTGAAATCCCACGGCACCTTAAGTGACTGAACTAGGGCGCCTGCTTGAGGTTTATCAGACCTTAGCGTTCGATAAAGAGGTTGCCCACTCCCGTCCAGGAGATCGAGATCCTGGTTGATCGGAGTGGGCGGCGATGCTACCCCACCTCTTTTGCTTCCGCGGCCGATGTGGCAGCTGCTTCCGCCGCCCCGTTCGCCCTCTCTCCGCCTGCTGCGCCTCGCGGCGACCTTGAAACAGCACGAGACGCAGCGGCAGGAGGGGGAACTCCAGCTGGCGGAGGAGGTTGGTTGAGGCTGATGCCAGGCGATGGCGCGGCAGCTCGGTTTCCAACCAGGAGCGCCTGCTGCTCTGGCGCGTGCTGCGGCCGACTTGCCATGACCAGCGCATCGTGACGAGCACTGACCCCAGCGATCTGCTGGGAGAGAGAAGACACATGAGCATCCACACTGGACTGGTATGAATGCATAGCATCGGCCATCGAGGCCAGCTGCTGCTGGATGGAGGCAAGATCTGGAACCTGAGCAGGTCGGATGGGCGGCACCGACTGTGGAACACTTTGCTCCTCTTGCCCCGATGGCTCCACCATCATTGGCTGCGGGCGC